GCTAGCTACACTACAGTTAGTGATGCCGGTAGGTAGAAAAGGTGTAAAATAGAGCGAAATGAAAGTTAGTGAAAGGTAATGCAACAGTGTTTCGAATTCCTGCACCACTTTTACAAGCAGAAATGGACTTTAAATATCGACGTTATATTTTTACAGTTTTTCTTTCATAATATTGCTCGTCGCCTGTGCCACTTTTCGACTTGATTGCACTTTATATACGTACTTACTTTGTATTAATGACAGCTATGTTTATATATAGATGCAAATATGTTACATATTCATAGCTGTATATATGTATGTAGTCGTATGATAATTAACTGCATTCAGCGAAATTCAATGCGTTCAGCGCACAGCACATACGTTCATGGTCGCACATGTTGCAACAACACAGCAACAAAATGAAAAGCTGCCAACGCGGTCAACGTGACACGAATTGGCCACACACACACACATGCAGGCATGCAGGCATACTAGGACCATAAAAAAAAAGACATTGCAGGCAAACACACTCACACACAGCCAATAAATGCAAACCAGCTCAAGCACACGCATTCAACGCTGTATGGCTCGCTTGTTTGTGTCTCGCATTAAAGCGAATGGCCTTGCTACACTGCCTTGCAACATAAATGCGTAAAGAGGCCTGCGCATGTGTGTGCCTGTGCGTTAACGCTGCCCTTCATCAGTTGTTGTGGCCGCATGCAATTTAACTGCATTTAAAAGCGAAACATGCGCAATAATGCAGCATTTTGCATAATATTCGCCGCGTACGGTTTAAATTTTTTCGTTTTTGGTTATAAATATGGATTGGCGTGTGCTATTGTGTGCGCGGAAGCTGCGCTAAAGGAAATAACAATTTAAACTTTTTTTTCGCACTAATTGCGTGGCACAAGTACATACCGTTATTGTTGGGCCAATAAAAGCACACACACTCATAATGCTTATAACGGCTTATTTACTTTATTTTTTAAGCATTTTAATTGTTACCTCTCAAAGCAAACTTGGGTCTTTTACAAAAAAAAAAATATCGTTTCGAGGACCAGCGTTGGTTCATATTGTTGGAAGTGGGGTCATAAATACCAATTGAGCGTTATCAAATAACTGTAGCCTTGATTATATATTAGATATTTTTACAAAAGGTTAATATAGCAATAATATATATATATATATTTTGTTTTGTTTTATACCGAAAGTTGTTTCTTTATATGTATTGGCAAGATATATACGCTGAAAAGCCTCTAGTTGTGTCCTGTGTAGCACTTTGCAAAGCGTGACGGCCTGCTATACTTATATTTGTATAACAATCTGATCGTGCTTAAAAAATGTGCAGCTCAAAAAAGAGTCTAGAGCATCTACAGCGTAAGCAATGCATCAGCTGTTAGAAAATATTACTTTTTTCTCTTAAAAGTTATAACTTTTCAGCAAATCACCTGCCGAGTTACTTACTTCGCTTGAGATGAGTGTACTTGTGCGTCACAACCGACGACATATCGGTTTTGGAGATCAGTGTTTTTGTTTTCTGCTTAGATGCTTATTTGAGCTGCGCACTCTCACAGCAAAGTCGAGCAATAAACTCTACCATAAAAGTAAAATTTCAGTTTTATATAGGCATTTACCATGTGTAATCGATTGGAACCAGAGAAAATATAACAACAACTGCTTGCATGTTCGCTGCTGTAACCACGCTTTTGCACCATCTGGCAAGATTTCGGGTATACTACACTTAGAGTATGTGCTTCTTTTCTCTTTTGTAGGACTTATACTTCCAAAAAAATAGTCAAAGTTTTCAAGTATTAACCATTCTAAGCCGGGTCGATCCATAAGTATTTGAATTTCATATGGCTACCAAAAGTACCATATTTAGCTGAACTATTATGTCTTCAGCGTGAGTGTATACTTTTCAGTATGAAAAGTGATGCTTTACAAAGCAATCCTTGGTTCATTATAATTTGTTTTACCGTTACTTTGGTTTAGGTGTTAACGGCTGTTATGCCTACTACAGTGCTAAATCATTGAAATTTTTAATATATGTGCGATGTGTTAGCTAAAATATTCTTATTTGGAATATATATATTCCTTGTAATTTGGAGTTGTTATTGTTATTTTGTACGATTTATTTACCGACAAGCTGCATGCGTTGCAATTCTTATATTATATATTTATAGGGCTGACTGGTCGGACAGCTTAGCGTTAAGCGTATGTTGTTGTTATTTTGTTAACTAAGGTTTTGTTAATTTTTTGCTGTTGTTGCGTTTTCACACACGAACGGCCGTGTGCGAGTTTGCCAGCCTTGACACATATTTGCGTCATCTACACATGTGCACTCACACACAAACTATTACTCCTGGCATCATCGTGAGCTCGCCACCGAGGCTTTGCCAAGTGTTTTAACGTTCAAAAATACAGCTTATATATGGTACACATATACATATGTATGTATATTGTTGTGTTCGACAACATAACATATAAACAAGTATGCGGTTATAACGGATGTTCACTGGCACTAGACCGCGTGTGCAGCAGCGAGCATTTGTAGGCGTGCCAGGGATCTTAAGCGTTTCGCTTTTTTCCCACTTGTAATCCGCTTTGCCTACGCTTTGCTCCGTTATTTTGCTGACTTCTCATTTTGTTGAGATTTTTTATGGCACGAACAGCGGCATGTCCACAATTAAACTGCTTAACCGTAAATTTGCACACAATTACACACATGTGTAAGTTTACATATGTGCATATATATGCACACACATACATAGGCATATAATTAAATGTATTAAACGCGCATGAAGACTTGGAAATTCTCCCGAGTTTAAGTACTTGCAGGTTTTTGTCTACAATTTAACGCATTTTTAAATGAATGTGTGTGTTTGTGTATGTTTGCATGTATGCATGTATGCATATGTGTATTCGTGCGCATGTATTTATTCATTTGCACTAAATGCATCCATTTCTGTTATTGTTTTTATTGCTGCATTTTGTGCTTATGACCGTGAACGCTTGTATGCAAAATACATATATGTCTGTAAGCGTGTGTATGTGTGTATATGTGCGGGTGCAACGATTTTGGTGCAAAGCATAAAATGTCTTAATGAAATCACATGGCGAATGCAAAAAGCGGCGCAACACAAAATATCTAATGGGCGATAAAGCGCTTTAGCGTAAGCGAGTAAATGAAAATTTAAATAATTGATGCTTTTAACTGAAAACAAGATACGGGATTTAAAACTAACAGCGCCAGAGGAACACGAAATCCAGGGTTGCATTACACAACAACATATAAAACGAAATACATACGTATTAGTATTTGTTTTTATTTTTGTTTTTTTATATTTTTTTTTATTTTTTTGTTTTCTTACTTTCTAATACCTTAGTTTTCAAATTTTTGTGTTTTAACAATTTTCCACACGCATTACAGTAACTACAGTACAGTCTGTCAGTCAGGTGGTTCGAGCTTAATTGTGGAAGTGGACAGAATAGTGGAGGCAGGGACACATTCCAAGTATTTTAAAGTGAAAAAGTACGAGCAAAGAAATGTGTGCGTGCAAAAATATTGCAGTAACTGGTAGTATGAAAATATTCAAAAAAAAAAAAAAATTAAATAAATATATAACAAGTAATCTCTAGACAGACTTAATTGTTCTTCGGTTTCATACGTGTAAAATAACGCATTCGCATTAATCAAGAAAAACTTAAGACATTTTAAAATTTGCGCTAAAATTGGACCTTAAACCGCTAGAATTTGCTGCGATAGTCGCGAGCTTCTTAGATTTTTTGAAAATTCCTGGCGTAATTCACTTTACTATGACGGACTTATAGCGCTATAAAAGGAAATGAAGTTAACACTACCACTGAGCTGGCAGAGATCAGACTGTAAACTGAACCTTACGATAACAATAAACAGTACTTGTATTAACACGAAATATTTTAAACAACTTTTTCATGAATGGTATCTTAAAAAGGCTTGGTGATTAAAAAGAACTAAACCAAAGCACATTCAGTGAAACCTCAGTATAACGATACATTGGATTCTAGTTCTTTAAAAAAAGAGTAAACAGAAATTGTTTTAACTTTTGGCTTAAAATATGCTGTTAAATTTCATAATCCTATTGAAACTGCAGAATAAAGGCGTCTTCAAATACCTTGACGCTCTTTAAGTAAAAGAGGAAGTGAACTTAATGCACCCAGAACCTCAACTTTGTTACGTGATTTAATTTTTGTAACAGGGTTTGAGATTTGGAATATTCTAATAGCATATGTAAGTTTATTCAGAACGCACAAAATTGTTATCGAGTTGAATAACGGGAACATTTTTTATTAGTTTCGTGGTCAGTTCAATTACCCGGTTTTAACTCAATAAATTCCTTATTTAGTAATGATATTCGAAATATCAACAAGCAGTAGATTTCAAAATAGTAGACTGCCAAGAAATTCAAGAATTTTACTGAAGAAAAGAAGATTTCCCGAGAAATTATGCAAAACTCTTTCTGGCTACTGTGAATATTTTAGACACAAAATGTAATAAACCAATTTTAAATATTTAAGTTTTTCTTGCTTACAATCCCAATAAAAAATATATACGTATGTATATTAAGAACAACAATTTCTAAAAACTAATATTTTGCTGCCACTTTTTTATTACTTAAAACACTAAAGCAACACAAAATAACCAACTAAAAACTCTATGGGGTCAAGATTCCTTCAATCAAAGCTAAAACAATCTTCTTTGTTCGGAGTTTTTCTCACATACTCATATAATTTTCAAAATCAGTTTTCAAAGATGCTTTGCCAAGCATTTTTCTAGAAAATGTGAAGAGCTTCAAAATCCTACAAAAGTAAGTGCTAACAAAATAAAATCAACTTAAGCACCGCTATTGGGCAATGCATCGAAGTAAAGCACGTTTTCGAGCACTTCGAATAATTTGCATTGACCAAAGTGGTCACTATTTGTTTTTGGTAAGTTTGCTATTGTTTTTGTTCCTTAAGTGGGGGAAGTTGTGTTCGCTTACCAGCTTCGTCTGGCATTAGTTGGAAAATATGATCTGGCGGTTGTGTTGCAGCCTTGACATTACGTGGCGCTGCCGGTGCGTCTTCTAAAGGCATTTGAATTTGCAATTTTTCAATGAAATTCAAATGTCCATATTGGTTATATTTGATTTGTTGTTGTTGTGAATGTTTAGCGATTCGAAATAATTCGTATTTTGATTTTTTTTTTTGTTAAATTTTTATTTTTTTTATTTATTTTTTTTTTTTAAGTTAAAGACGATAGATGATGGCAGAGTTATGAGTGTTGCGTAAATAAATTCATACATATTGTACACAAATGTTGTTGTAGAAAAGAGAGAAAAAGAGAGAAATGCAAGAGTATGGGTTTAATTTAATATAATAGAACGTAGTTAGTGACGCAAAGTTGGCGAAGGGAGCGAGGTAAGTTTGACATAAATTTTGTCAGCAACTGACTTGCTGCTCTGGTCTAATTCTGCTACCATCACTCACTTACCTACCCCAACTCACCACATTTGCCGAAGTTGCATAGAGTATGTGCATCAAGGTCTTAATAGAAGCAATAGATAAAGATATTCAAACTTTAACTCACCCAAAGTGCGCACCGTCATCACCTTGCTCATCAGTCCATCGCCGAGCACATTGCGTCCGACCACCTGAAACTCATACGTAGTGCCCGAAGCCAAGCCGTTGATGGTGACCTGTGTGCTGCCCGATGGTGTGACCGAAATGGTTTGCCAATCGGCGGCGCCTGCTTCGCGATACCAAATCGTATAGTCCTGCTTGTACTCGGAACCGCCGCTATAGCCGGGCATCCATTGCAGCGTGATGGATGATTCGGTCGCTTTGCCGGTAATGTTGTACGGTGCATGCGGCTGTGTGCCCTCGATGACCAGCTGCGTTACCGACATCAGTGTGGCCACCTCATTTGAGACGACACACTGATAGTAGCCAAAATCTTCACCGCGTAAATTTTCGATGGTTATATTACCACCGGACACTTTGACACGAATGCGCTGCGATTCGCTCAAATCGCCGCCATCTTGACGCTGCCATTTGATGGTGGGCCGCTGTGTGCCCTCCGCTTCGATGGCATCGCAATGCATTTCGACGCTATCACCCACTTTGCGCTGATACAGCGACTCCGGTTCGACGGTGAATGTGGGCGGTTTGCGTACGAGCACCTCCATGGGACCGGATGAGCCTTGTGTGCCTTGTGCATTGTATGGCGTACAGGTGTAGCGACCTTGATGATCCTCATTGACGCGCGTAAAGAGCAATGAACCATTGGCCATGACGACGATATCCTTCATTTGATACGGTTCGAGTAGGCGTTTGTCTTTGGTCCAGGTGACATACTGCAGTGTGGGATTCGATTTGATGTAGCACTGTACGACGCCGGCCAAACGGAAGGGTAGATACTGTACAGTGGGTGTGAAGGTCACTTTGGCAGGATCTGAAAGAAGGTAAACATAAGTGAGCTAAGGTTGTGAGCAGATGAATATTGAGATTTCGTAGTTTCGATAATATGTTTATTTTTCTTGAATTTTTTTAACCTCAAGTTTTCGAATATTGTTATATTTGCAAGGGTATTTCGAAATTCAACATTTAGTAAATATTGAGATTTTACTAAATTTTGATGTTATGTCTCTCTGGTATAGAACGTTAAACTCGAAAAATATTTCTTGGCGAAATTTATTCGCATGTTTTCCGTTTTCGAAACTTTTTAAATTTCTTATTCCACAATACTTTTCTTTAAGGTTTTTTTAAATTCATTGAAACACTGACGTTTCATTTATTATACTGCTGACAAAATATTTACAAATAATTCAAAAATTACAGATTTTAAGCCTTTTAACTTTCTAATCGTGTCATTCTAAATAGTGGCACGGGCAGTAGTCTCAAAAACATGGCACATCAAATGGAATTGGTACCTTCTAATGTGGGGCAAGCAGCGGAAAGTGAATTGAAGATAATCGCTGTGGAAAAAGCCAACAAACGTAAGCGTGTCAAGAGCGAGTTTCATAATTATGTTTATCAGACATAAATCTTTAAACTGCAGCCATCAACACCAGGTTCAGTGGTAAGGTCGACTACGACATGGTGCTGGTTGTGTTCAAAGACTGTTTTCTCAAGAAGTGGGACAAAATGACGCCATCGCCAGACACAGGCCTCCAAGGTTTCGACGAGCTGGCCACAATCGGTGCAGGCTCCTTCGGCAGAGTGGTGTGTTCGAAACGTATGTCGCTTATTTTTCGTTAATACATATTATTTGTGCTTCGATAGAAACTGGTGCGCGAAAAGTCGACGGGTAATTACTACGCCGCAAAGTTGGTGCTGAAGGAGATGATCGTGAAGACAAAGCAAGTGCCGCATATATTCAACGAGAAGCGCGTGCTGCTCAGCATAGACTTCCCTTATGTGGTTATGATGGACTTTTGTCGCAAGGACTTTGATCATTTGATCTTTGGTTTGCCATTCATAAACGGTGGAGAGCTCTTCACCTATCATCGCAAGTAGGTGCTGTTTGCTGCACGTTGGCTTATACTTTTTTATTTCTTTCAATCTTTTTTCTACCAGAGTGCGTAAATTTTCGGAGAAGCAGGCGCGATTCTATGCTGCTCAAATATTTCTTGGTTTGGAATATTTACATAATTTGCAGTTGCTATATCGAGATTTGAAGCCGGAAAATATATTAATCGATAGAAAAGGTTATCTTAAAATAACGGATTTTGGCTTTGCAAAGGTACTTAAATGGCCACTTGACTGTGTGGTTGTGCGCAGCGTTCCAGAAAATCTTAAGCATAAAGTTTGCTTGCTTTCTATTTCTAGCGCGTTGAAACCCGCACTTTGACATTATGCGGAACACCAGAGTATCTGGCGCCTGAGTTGATTAAGTCCAAACCTTACTCAACCAGCGTCGACTGGTGGGCGTTTGGAGTGCTGGTTTATGAATTTGTTGCCGGTAATTCGCCCTTTTCCGAGTACAATAGGGATGTGATGATGATGTATGGAAAAATTTGCGATGGCGCCTACAAGATACCCGCCGCATTTCCGCCAATGTTAAAGGACTTGATCTCAAAACTGCTAGTGGTCGATCCCTCGAAGCGGTGAGTGTGATTATGTGTGGTTTGAGATTAACAAAAATTCATCTATATTATCGTTAGGCTCGGCTGTCTAACGAATGCACAAAAGGACATAAAAAATCACGATTGGTTCAAAGGCGTGGATTGGTATGGACTACTGAACCAACAAATACAACCACCTTATGTGCCAGTCATCTCAAATATGGAAGATCTGTCAAATTTCGACAAATACCCTGAAGATAGAAAGAATGCACCGAAGTCGAAAACAAACAAATTTCCCGAAATATTTGCTGAGTTTTAGTTACCTCAATGTTATTTGTTAACAATTTTCTCGTTCAAATACAATTAGATATGAGCAGTGACATAGAATATATGTGTTTTGAATTTAATTTCATTAATACTTTTTTGTGTGTATACTTACATTCTACATTTAAATAAGCCGAAGCGCTTTGCGGATCTCCAATGCCATTCGTTACCTCACACAAGTAAGTACCAGAATCGTCAGCGCTAACGGGATTTATAATAAGGGAACCATCCTTACGTATTGTAACGCGTGTCTCCAGTGAGGCCACCTCCCGTACGGGAGAGCCTTCTCGAAACCATCTAACGGTAACATTGCCGGGCATTGCTTTCGCTTCGCACGAGAATATCACCTTTTCGCCCTCGAGTTTGGTTTGATTAGTGGGCGGCACCTGTGCGCAAGGCAAAGTGCAGCAAAAAACATGCATTGCAAAAAGAAAGAGGGGGAGAGAAAATGTAAAAATAAAACGCCAATTGCGTTAGTCTCATTCTGTGAAAAGTTTTATATAGCAAAAAGTTATGCAAACATTTAGATACTATTAATTTCGAACACTTATTATTTGAGTAATGAGCAAAAGATAACAAATACATTAAGGTTAATAATTAAGGTAATAAATTAACTTACAATAATTGGTTTTAAGTTCATGGGTTACTGCCTAAAGTAGCGCTTAAAAAATTAAAATTAATATGAATGTGTTAAGTGTGGGTCTTTTTAAACCGGCTAACGTAAATGAAAAAAATATGCAAATGTATATTTTTGTGTGAATATTTTCTTTATACTTCTGTAACCAGACGAAAATATAAATTTGAAGTAAAATTACTCAAAATGGTTCACACAAAGAACATGCGTTTTTTATTGACTAAAAAATAATTGAAAAGCTTAGTCTGAATACGCTTTAATTACCATATAGCTGAATAATCAAAGTACGGACAATATAATGCAAATATATAATTATATATATTAACTTTCTGCAGTGTTCGAGAAATTTTTTAAAATATTTCTGAAGAAATATCTGATAGAAATATATACTAACTTTCTGCAGTATTTGTGAATTTTTTCAAAATATATTTGTGGCAGCATCTTGCAGGCCTAGAGCGAAAACCGCCTTGCATATTTTTATTTAAAAATTAGTACCCATCTTAGTTGGAAACCCATAAGTTATTATAAGTAGCTTTATTTAAACAGCATGGCAATTTAGACCAGTTGAATATTGGTATAATAATAGAACAGTTAGACATAGCAAGGTGATGTAATACAGTTGCCACTCTGGCGTTGATTTCAGCTAGTCCTAGATTAAAGTATTGATCTAAATTGCATAGAAATATTGTGATATATGGTATAACTGCTTGCTATACTATCTCTACGTCATTATGCCAGTTAAAACTATTATACCAATTGTATGTTCTATTTACTGTAAGGCTTTGCATATCAAAAATCACTAGCGCACCTACTAAGCTTAATATTTTTTTCTTTTTGATAAAGAAAGCTGTTTGTTTCATTCTGCGCTCTTCAAGTTTTGACAATAGCTATATACTTATATGATTTTTGAGCGCTTTAATTAAACACGAAATTATTTTTTCCGTTATTTTTATAAACAATTATGTTTAAATAAATAAAGTTTCACGTAATATTATAGAAATAATATACTTTATAACATATAAAAGCAATAAGTTTAAAGAAAACGTGCAAAACAAAATTCATTATGCAACCTCACAGTGCGGCAGCGTATTGTTTCTGAAGGCGGATAGTATAGTATATATAAATTATATAAGGCAAGAAAAAAAAATATATATCCAAAATTTCTTCTTATTATTCAAAATTTTTTTTTTGAAAAAAATAGGCCAAAAACCATTAAAATAAATTTAAATGAAACTCAAATAAAAGTATTAAAAGCAATTTTACAAATAGCTGCATCTATGGGTACTTGTAACTAAAAAATCTCATGAGAGCAATTTAGATACAATACTGCCTCAAAAAATATGCCTCCACAATTTCCTAACTCAGCAGCGTATCATAAAACAACACTGTCGCACTGCGCCTTTTATAATGTTTTATGTTAATAAAAGTAAGTTAACAAAGGCTTTAAATGTTCATAGCAAAAGCAAAAATAACTGCATTCTCCAAATGTCATTGTAGTCGGATGTTATGGTAAACTGAAATGCCAGGATATTCAGCAATGATTCATATTTAAGAATAGCGGCAGAATGGCAAGCGCTTAACTGGAATGAATGGCATAGTGGCGCAAAAGATGTCACATACACACGCACACACACACATAAACATTATTGTAAAAAATAAGAGTGCGGCTGTGAGTGTGTTTGTGCACATCTTTGCGAGCTTTAGCGAAAGTGTGCCTGTAAATGTACAACTGTATGTATATGCGTGTGTGTGTGTGTCATTACGTCCGTTTGCGCCCGAAGACAGGCACACACATCGTTCGAATATGGCAATTTATGGCCACGCATTGTTTGCTGCATGCAACAGCAACAACAAAATGCTTCAATGGCAATGAATATATTGCTGATGGCTATGAATGTGGCAGCAGCGGCGGCGGTGGTGGCAGCGGCGTGGGTGGCGGTGACGGTGACTGTTGCGCAAATGACAATTATGTTGAGCGTGTGCTGCTTTTATGAATTTCTCGCTGCTCTTTATATTAACTGTTTTTTATATTATATATGTGCATAAATACACACATACATATATACAGACATATAGATATACATACATATATAAATATTAAATGGCATTTGATGTGATTGCGTATGCATTGTGTATTTTGGTCGCTGTTCGAAATGTGTATTTTTTATTTTTTGTAATGAATATTTGTGGCAAATACCTGAGCTTGACTGCAGCACCAGAAATTTGAATGCATGAAATGCTTAATAACTTTTAGTAAAATTCATTTCAAAATTGAAATCCAATAATGAATGTTTTTATGCGACTTTGTTTGATTATGTGGCAATATGTTTTTAATTTCGTGTGCATGCCCAGGTAAGTGTTCGGCGATTTTGCATGAAAAAGCGTACGTTTTTCAATGAGTTGTCGCTATGAAAATTGACGAAATGACAAAATTCAAAAACTATTGCTCAACTCAGCGTAAACACATATAAAAAACGCTAATGTTGCATATAAACCGTTATAGCAAAACATAGAAATAAAAATGGTTTTTTCTGTTGGGCACTTACTGCAATACCGATCTTAGTGTATTTGCCGGTTTTGGCGACCTTTTTGGTGCCCGATTTGCCTACTTTCCCCTTCCCACCAGCTGCCGGCTGCTTTACGCATCGCATTTTATTCAAATATCCGTTGTGTGTTGCGTAAAAAGCGTCCATTCAGTTGCCATTTTGTCGTCGGTGTGTGGTTTTTGGCAGTTGGCAAAGTTTTGTAACAGGTTATGGCATTAAGAAATTGTTATTATTGTTGTTGTCATGTGAATATTGTTGTTGGTTGGGATAGTAGGTGCACGAGGTCGAGCGGTTTCACGTAATTAAGTTGATTGATGGTTTGGTTCGTTGGACAATTAAGTCATTTGTGTTGGTAGTCATTACAGTATTTAAATACAAAGAAAGTTTTTTTTACAGAAGTTGAGATAAAAAAAGGTTAAAGAGGTTAGAAAATGATCAGAGACCTATGTAGTTTTTAGTAGACTCAGCATAAACAGACAGAAAGCGAGCGTTGTTTAATTTTTGATGTTTTTATAGTAATTGCCAATATTTATGCGTTGTATTGTAGTAATGCTAATTTGACATGCAATGACAACTGAAATACGCATATTATTGATGGTTGACAGAAGAAAAAGTGAAGAAAAAGTATTTTGCAGTTCGAACAGAAATTTTATATTTTCGGTGTAACTTAGTTTTATTTTCTTGAATAAGTTAGCTGAGTTGTTAACAGACACGCTTATATTAATTATTGGTTTTTAAGCTAAAGTAATTTTTATTTCAAATATTTAGTTTTCAGCGCCTAGACAGTTGCATAATGAAGAGTTTTATTCAAACGAATTTCGATAAAACTATCGAAAACTAAAACATCGTTAAAAGAGAAATTCCGAGCTGCGGGCGTTTTTCAGACAAATTTTGAGTTTCGCATGGTATAAGTTTTCAAAATTTTGAGTTGTTTAATTAAAATTGCAACGAAAGATTTTTTTTGTTTTGAAATTAACACTAAAAATATTTTCCAAAAGAAAATTAAGAAAAGTAAATGCTTTATTTTGAAAAAGCGAATTAAAAATTTTTTTTTTTGAAAATATTGTCTTTTTTAAGTTGTTAAAAATTACAAAAAAAAAGTTGGTAATTTAAAGAAAAATTGCTGCTATGAAAAATAAATTACATAACCTCAAAATCAACAAATTCGATCTACTTTCATAATTTTAAAAATCTCGCTTTTAACTTTCAAAATCTATCTACATAAAATATAAAACCAAAAAGCGTAATCTCTAGTCTAGTCTTAATCGAAACTCAAATGAAGGCTCTAATATCTACACAAAGCCTAATGTTCGAAAACTTACAAACAGTGCAGTTGCGAAAAGTTGTTTGATTCAAATTTCAATTTCTATATTTAAATTTTCCCAAACGAGCCCTGTGACCGTTATAATGCTGCTGCATTTAAAAACGTTACGTGTACTCACACACCCAGCTACATGTATACACACATATACATATAAATAAAAAATGTTTTCCATTTTGTAGCTACAACCCTTGAGAGACCGCCGTGTAGTTGCCAGAGTCATACGCCATTTTGTTGCATGCCCCTGCTCACATGTACGCGAAAATTAAATTTTTGAAAATGTGTTTGCCGAAACATCTGCTTGTTCATGCACTATCGCTTGTGCCTATATGTATAGCCACATTTGTAAATACATGTACCAATGGCTTTGTGTGTGCGTGCGCAAAAGTGCCGTTGGGCCATCAAAATTCATTTAACAACCGCTCAGACGCACACTTTGAGCTTAAATTATTTTGTTTCAATGTGCGTTGCCCATCTGCACATATTTATTTATATGTATGGTGTGTGTATAGCAATACACGCAACAACAAAAATATACAAATTATACGCACATGAGGTTATGAGCATGGCTAACGGGTAGCAAAATTTGCCGTTTCGCGTAAAATTTTGTGGTGTGAGCATTTAAGTTGTTAGCCTTGGCCTGCTCAATGCCCGAGGCATTCACTAATACATATATGCGTGTGTGCTATGAGATTGTGTGTTCCGATACATACATATGTATGCTCTTAAACATATATATTTAGTTACAGCTGTATGCATGAAATTGAAGTTCGCGACTGGGTCGCTCTCTAAGCCACTTTATGAAGCTTTTGCTGGGCCCACAAACACAAACAGCTCACATATACAAATGTACATGCGCATGGCACCGCCACATACAGTGTGTTACACGCGTGTGTAGAAACTAAATCGTGTTTTTTTTTTTTTTTGCTTCATGTATTGCCTTTTTTGTATGCGTGAAAGCCCTTACATAATTGCGTGCTTGTGTAAGTACCTCCCATTAGATGTATATAAAAACGGTGTACATACATATGTATTATTGTGCACATAAATGCAAATGTCGGCATGAAAAACTCATGTTTATATGTCATTTTAGTAAGTTTTGCCTCTTGGCCACTTTGCTGGTACCAAATACAACTTTTTCGAAATTGCAGGCCTTTAACCCGCTAGCACAGATGTAATAAAAAGAAGTGAATCGCTATACACCACATTTATACCAAAAAAAAAAAGAAAAAAATTTGAGTGGAATATCATATCGAAGCTCGACCAAAAGTTATATGAAAACTGACATAAATATTTGTATACCAAAAATTTGGAATAATCGCTTTAAAAAGAAGCGAATACTATTCTTGAGATAACAACTCATATTTCAGGTTAGTTTTCATCTTTCAAAGAAGGGTACTGCATACATTGTTGAAACCTGCAAAAGTGTGGTTATATTCGAAACTCAAGCACCAAGTAACATGTTTTACATACTGCAGTACCGAGTCAAAACTTCTAATAAGCATAAAAACACTAGTTTCTAAGCTTTTTTATTAGCAAAACAGTGAATAAGCAACAACAGTGAATCTAATTTCATGTGCAGTATAGGGTTAAGGCGCCGCAAGTGATTTTCGTGGCATACAAAGTTCGGTCTAGCGGTCGCACTAGTTACCAACGGCGGCGCCACAACAACCCATTCTATTTATATGCATAACATAACAACAAGCTAGTTTTTATACGGAAAAGTTTTTAAGTTTCGGTTGTAGTGTTGCCAATGACGTGGTTGTTGTTATAACGAGGTCTTTGGCCAAATCTTGCTTATTTTTGTATATTCCATCAAATAAGCTGAGGTCTACAAGCGTGTAGCAAATGGTTTTGCACGCGTGTTTCTCAGTTTAGCTGTGAATGTTAATTCTTTATTGACACATTTAAATATGTGTGAGTATTTGTGCTTAACCTATGAAGTGCGCTGCTTGCTAGAGTAGTTACATTTTTAACTTGAAATATCGATTAAAAATTTTTTTTTTTAATTAAATGATTAAGGGATTGGAGGTAGTCATAATTTTCAAAAAAAGAATTTGTCTTAAAAATATTCTCTGAAAACTTCAAATTGATCCGATAATTACTTTTTGAGTTATTCGACAAATAATAAAGAGCGCTCGGGCACTTCAAAGCGCTCGGGAGCTATAGTGTGAAACTTTAAATGCGTTTTTCTCAAAACCATGTTTTTCGAACTGGTGACAACTGTAACTCGAAAACCGCTCAGTAGATTTTAATGAAATTTATACAGCTTTTAGAATACATAATAAACTTGGCACTGATCGAAGAATTTTTTTTTTTTTAATTTCGGTTTTCCAAAATCTAGATAAAAATTTTCTGAGGCCGCCATTTTGTTAATTTTTGGAAAAAAAGCTTCGATCATATTTTATATATTATTAGATATTTATAAAACTAATTTTTTATATCCAATTGATTTTAGATGAATCTCCAAAGACTTATGGAACTGGGTCAACACGTACAGCTATAACTTTGGAAATTAAAATTTAACTTTGGAAACTAAAATTTTTCATTTATATGGCTAAATCTGCATTGATAATTCAGAATATTTCTTTAAAATTAGCTACATCTCCTCTATAGCCTCTGCAATAATTCAGCTGTCAAGTTAAGGTTTCAAAGAATTGCAATGAAACTAGAAACGTCAAAAAAGTGTTAGAATAAAGAGAATATATACTGTTTAATGTTCTCATAGAAATGCATGAAAGGCATTTAAGAGCGTGTGCTATAAATAAGGTTTAAGGCAGCACTATTAAAGTATGGCACTTAGTGACTGCTGTTGCAGGCGGCACATTTGCACAAATGCTCATCCATTTTAGCTGTCATGAATGGTGAATACAGTAGTTTAGTAGCTAGCGAAAACAAATGAAGACAAAAGCGCATAACGGCGTCTAATGACAACATCTGTGTTGGATCAACAAAGCGCGTACAAGTCCGCATAAATAAGCAGTTGCTTCACATTGTTGTTACTCATACGCCATGGCGCACCATCCAACCAACGCACAACACTCTTTGCTTGCATGTGTGTGTGTGCTCTGTCTTTTAACTATTAAATTGTAGTAGCGCATTAGTGTTGTCATGTTGAATTAAGATCTTCTTCTTTTGAACCATTCCCTAAGCTATTCAAGCTGTCACATAAACTCCCACAACTCACAGTGCATGTCTGCGTGTGTGCCAGGCTGACAGTTATTGAGCGGTTTTCGTAATATAATTGTGTTTTATAATATCGTTTGCAACACACCAGCGCACAAGCAGCTGCACACGTGCGTGTGCGTGTGCGTGTGTGTGTTGTAGTGTAATGATGTGCAGTTTAGCACAGTTTCAGGCGCTGCCAAAGTTCTACGACCACACATATGTAAGGCATGCGCCGTATACTTATGCATACTGCATAATGGCTGTATTTAGTTTATAAATAATAACTGCTGGTGTATCTGCAGAATGTGTACGCTTTGTTGTTGGCTTTGTTTATAAATAATTTCATGGCATCATGATGTCTTGTGTTGTTGCATTAGTTTCAATCTAAGTTTTCATGTTGCTGGCATTAAGTTTGAGCTCAGCATAATCTCGCCTTACGTAGATAAATACGGCTATGCGATTAAAGTTAGTTACTAGTATTTTGTAACTGTTATTTTGTGTCTTAAAGTTTATGTGCACTTGAGAGCATGCTGTTGCAGTTGGCCTACTTTTGTCGAGTATGATCAATTGACTGGCGCTTCCTACATGAATTTTTCTAAGAAACTTGCTTAAAAGATTTTGTGAAAGAAATTATTGAGTTTTTTCTTAAAAGTTACTTATTTAAGCTGAGTTTGGAATTTTGTAGAATTTTTGGGCGATTAGAAAGTTTGCGGGTATGGTAGTTATATATATCCAATAGTTACAAAAATTTAAGACTATCTCGCTCTTATCTCTTTTGTGAATATTGGAATCGCAGTAGTATTACTAAAAATATTTCAGTTTTTCATTTTCGCTCCAATTTGACTACGGCAGCCATTTTAAAATAAATGTTTGTTTGTGTTCCGTAAAAATATTTTGCATGTACGGCAACTCTGCTTACGCTCACGGCATTTTCACAATAATCTAATAGAAATTTTGTAAGTAAGCAAATTGCAGGATTTCAAATAGGTAGAAATAGCTATAATTTATTGCGCAACTTAAGTTAATTACTCTGTAACTCATTTAAATGAGCTTAAATAATCCCAGCTATGGTTTTTTAAGACATATGTCACGTCAATACACAACCTACTGTATACGCCACTATTTAAAATACTTGCAGGCAGTTCACCTCAAGCAAAATAATTAATTTACCTGTAATTAATTGTAGCATGAGATTTTAAGCATTTTGCTACGTTTCGTTCTCAGAATGAAGCAGTTATGTTTAATAAATTCAAACGAGGCTGTATAGAGCCACATAAATTTAATAAAGTTCAGCAAAATAAAAAAAAATAAAAATAAGTAGAAGCTTGGACAATAATTTTTTAAGCAGTCCTAAAAAATTAAAATTAATTCAAAATGCGCCTTAAAGCAGGCAGCGTATGTAATTGCGCCTTTTTCTGCGCTTACATTTGCTTGTACCGTTTTAAAATTCAATTTTACACGCTTTACACAATTTGACACCATTTAATGTTAGCACTAAGCCAATTAACGCGACTAAAGCTTTATAAGAATATGTTTTAATTGTTATAATAGCAAATCTTAAGCTATTTCTATGATTTTCCATGCATATATGCTAAATATAATTATGAGTTTAGTAATGATAATGATAAATCAGTAAATAAATGTTTAAATTTTTCATAGTTTTTTGAATAATTCTTTCTGTTTGTTTATAAATAGGGGGCGACAACACTTAAACAAATGAATATGGAACTCTATTGGAACTGAAGTCATTCACAAAAAAATTTCATTACTTTGAACATTCCAATTAGTTTGCAAAAAACTAAAAAAAAAATTGCTAGCTGATTGACAGTTTTCCCGGTAAGTAATTTTAATGATACTTCTAAGTTCACCATACTATCTCACAATGCTTAATAAAATCGCTTGTCTAATGATTTTACTGTACGTACTTTGTAAGCTCGTCAAAAAGAAGATTAGTAATTAATCTACCGAAATTTTTTAAATAAACAAGAAGAAACGTTAATTTCGGCGGCACCGAAGCTATAGTACCCTTCACGTATACAAAAAATTTTTACATAAACTTTGAGTGATCAGTTTGTATGGCAGCTGCATATGTGCTATAATAACTCGATCCGAACCATTTCTTTGGAAATTGCATCATTGCCTTGGGCAATATCGTGTAGATATCTCGTCAAACGACAAAGCTTTCCCTACAAGCACTTGATTCCGATCGTTCTGTTTGTATGGCAGCTATATGTTATAGTAATTAATACTGAACAATTTCTTCGAAGATTATACCACTGCCTTAGATAATAATCCATGCCAAATATCGAGAATATATCACGTCAAATGACAAAGCTTTCCATACAAGCACTTGATTCTGATTCTTCAGTTTGTATGGCAGCTATAAGCTATAGTGGTCTTGTGGAGAAAAGGTTGTGAGCAAAATTTCAGATTGAGACAAGTTCGCATATATACAGAAAGACGGACAAACATACGGATCTGGCTAAATCAACTTAACTCGTCATGCTGATCATTTATATTTAATATATATTTTAAAGGGTCTCCAAAATTACCGTCGGGGTGGCAAACATAGTATACCCTGTTCAGGGTATAAAAACTGATTCATTCGCTAGTAACCCTGTTTAAGCAGCATCCGTTCGTATGTTTTACAAAAATTGATTCAACATGGTTTCTATTGAATCATAGAAGATATAAACATTCAAGTATTATTTGCCACTTCAACCGAGTGAGCTTTGAAGAGCACTTTAAGCTTTTAGTAAGCTTTCAAAACGTAGTATTGTAATTTGATATGCAGGCTGCAAACACATTTCATCAGCTGTTACTGGACGCACCACTTAAGCTGAACATATTACTAAAAAGCCAAAAGTACTAAAAACTGACTTCAATTTAAATATACTGACTCTTCTCTTATTAAAAAAAGCGGTATGTTTAAAGAAAACCACAGCACTTTCGGTAAAACTGGCAATCAGCTAGAGTAATCCCGTTAAAAATTTGATCTTACTAAAATTTTACTTCACCAAATCAATCAATGCTGTTGTTTGTTTTATTTTTACAAACTTTACTTCTTAGTTAATTTACAATCCAAAGTGGGCATCGAATTACAATTTGTGGAGGATTTGATATTTCTGAGAGGGGTTTGGTGGTTCGAAAATAATTTATGTTTTACCATGATTACAGCGCCGCCCGCTATTATAACACGGGCCGTATGGGAGACTTGTCCCTCACCATTGCGTGCAATGCAAGTGTACTCTCCGATGTCCTCGTGTCGGATGGTGGAGATCCGTAACTCGGTGCCATCATTAAAGATGCCAACAGTAGACGAGGGATCAACGGGATTAGCATCTTTGTACCATAAGATCTCTGGTGTTGGGGTGCCATCCGCTTGACAATTTAGAATAATTGAGTCGCCTGTTTTGGGGGAAGAGAAAAAGAGAGAAAAAGTAGATTAGCATTCATATTTGATACAATTGTAAAGTAACGTATATTATATAGCATAATAAAGTGAACACCTCTGAAGAGTGTATAGTGAAACTACTTAAGGAATACGCAAAAATATGCGTGGCATATACACACACACGCATTGGCCTGTCAAAACTCTACGAAAGCTGGTGGCACGAGCAGGCGTTGCTTGCCAGGCAAGTTAGCGATAAGCTGTCACAATGCGGACAGCGCTGGCTGATTCATACACTAGATAGCAGCAGCTACGTCTAGTTTTCATTTTCTTTCATTTTTTTTTTATTCTTTGAACTCGCTCCGCTCATTGTCTTCAGCATGTACGAGCAGCGTGTCGTAACTGTCATTGTTCGTGCTTTTGTCGCTTGTTTGATTTGTTATACGCGCACAGCAGCCAACTTTCCTTCCGGCTTATCAGCTGCGCTCGCCTGCACTTACGCCCTCAACACGCTTCTTACTCCCCTTTTAGCTCGATTCTGCATTAGTTCCTAGCAGCAGCTCGTGCTGTGCTGCGCTCTGTGTAGATAATTTGCCATGAAAACTGCCGCTTGGCTTGTCTTTTATGTTAAGCGATATTTTTTTTTTTTATCTTTATCCACTTCATCCTGCAGGAGTTGGCGAAGTAAAATGTGCGCGCAAATAGGATCAACAGTTAAAAATGGCGGAATAAAACAATACAATAACAGCATAGACTAAAACAAGTCGACCAGAGCATGCCAACGATATTGCGCCATTGTCTAGAAGTGGAACTGCCAGTCGGTAGAACTGCGCGCTGTTGTTGGCTGCCGTAAATTAGTAGCTTGCTTTGTTCTTTGTTGCAGTCCGATGGTGTGTTTGTGGCGCGCAAGGTTCAGTGCGGCGGCGCAACGTGAGTTGGGAGCTTCTTTGTTTGCAGAGCGAGTTCCTGCTGATTTTTTGCTGGTTTTTATTTAATCACAAGTGTTTTCTCTATATTTTTCAACTCGTACATGTTCATCTAATTTTTGTTTGCTTCCTTCTATACTTTTTTGCTCTAATATTTCTTTATAATTTCGCGTCTGTAACCCCACTTGGCGCATATTCTTACCACTACTGTTGCGCACAACTCTTTGCGTTCTTAAATTTCCTGAGCACCCTGTAATGAGTATGTGCTCTTGAAAGTACGTCTTCAATGTGCACACTTGCGTTATGGCATTCATTTCCTCTCCCATATATTCGCCCATTCATCCCTTTTCTGATTCTTTTATGCACGTATAATATATACTTTTTTGTTGTTGTTCTTGCTGTTTATGCTTACTACGACAGCCGCAATTAACACAAATGGCTACAATTGGTTTCAGTTGCCTTCAGTTGTTGTCCTTTGTTTATTGCCATTGTTCGCTTGCGTTGTGCCGCAGTTGTATGGTTATTGTGGTGGTTGTTGTTTTTATTTGTCTAAGCTTTAAGTTGGTTTTTGTTGTAGCAAGCGAACTTCAATTGGCTCTTCTTCACCGCCACATGGCTTTTGTTTGTCTAACCAACGTATTTTAATTACTTTTTAATTAACAAAGTTCCCCCTGTATTTGCAGCAATAACGGTAACGTAAAGCTTCCTCATTTAGATAGATTTAAATAGAAAATTATTTAAACTTGTTTAAGCAACTTTTCAGTATTAGGTTCCAAGCTATGAGAATTCTTAATTTACCTTTTCATTTCCAAATTAATTCAAATGAATTTAAAGAGATGAGCAGTATAACCTATATTTCGGTAATATTTATACTTTCTACTCAAAGTTAGTTTAAATTAGGTCCTACGCTGACCTCTAATACGATGTTCAGAGTTGAACAGTTAAAGACAAGTCTAAAACCTGCTAAAGCGTAGCTACCTTATATGTCGACAAAGAGTCTTCAATTAATCACAAATCCGCTCGACGACTGATTTCAATTGCAGCTTGTTCGCCTGTATAGCTATTTGTTTCAATATTAGTCTCACAGAATCTAGTAAGGAAGTGTTGAGATGATTCCATTATATCTTCTTTGAAAAAACTTTGATAACTAACATCCAACAAGACCTTTGGATACAGTTAGGGAAAGGAATAGTTTGCTGTGGGAACGAAGCTCAGTACATCATTTGCGATTTATTTCGGATGTGAAAATTCTGCGATGGCAGTTCAACGTTCCACGAGCTCACGCGGAGTCCAAAAAATGGCTCCAAAGCTTTGGTGCTGATTAAGCTTCGGGATATCTAATTGAATGATAATTCCTTTTTCGATTCATTGGTTCTTCTATACCTGTAGCCATTCAAATATAAAGTTGGTTTGTTGAAATTCAGTCAGAGGCAGTCGCCGCTCTGCAGACAAATTCGATGCAATGACATGAACAAGACAGACATTATGAAGAGGTAAGGAAACTTGTACAAATATAATAGTTTGCGAAGATACTTTCCCTTTACTGAGTTTTATAAATGCCATACACTTTTCATTTTGAAAGGACGTTGTTAAACTAGAAATTAATATATAATATGTTCATTCGTATTCGTAAATATTTGCAATTTTTACAACTTTCGCTTCTGCCATGCTCACCATGTCAAAAGTAGCGGTATATAAACACTTCGAAGCTGACAGCAACCATTTTGCTACTACTAATTGCCATTTGCCAGTTGCAGACTCGCCTTAGCACTGCATTTCGTCTGTCCATCTGACTACCCGGGCACAAATTAAACACGTCTTCATAGCTGTCCATTAAGACAGCAGCACCGCAGCAGCAGTTGACAGCAAAACAGATGGCAACTCAGTCACAAGTCAACCGCATATTAACTTTGGTTAACTTGGCTCCTTTTCAAGTTTAATTAGAGAACATTAAAGTGAAAAATCAACTACTTCGCTTTTAACTATTTGTCGGGAAACAATTCATGTCAAAGCATGAGCTGAGAGCGAATGGATGTATGATGTGTGATATATAATATATATAAATATGTGAATATACTCGTATAACTGAATTTTTACTCAACGAATACAAATAATGTTTACGAGAAGCTGTTAGACGCTAACTTTGTGTTTGTATTTTTTCGAACGCATAATATATACCCTACACGCAGTGCTCAGTCGAACTTCAAAGGTGACAAATTGCACGCTTAATCCCGAAACGCGGACTTCTTTGCACAAACACGTAGAGAGTTGTGCATTTGAGCCTAAAAAGGCGGTCGGAGAGCATGAGAATTTCAGCAAGCATGAATGAAGCAGGATTTGTGGCAAAAGTGCACCTAATGGAATTTGGATTCAGAATTCAAACTTTTGCTAACGGTACGTTGCAATACACACGCTCTCTCGGTGTTTTTGGCAATTGCGTCGCGATAGAGACAAATGTTGACAATTATTCAAAGCGCCGATGACAAGAATTACGCATGGATACGGTAGGTGGGTTCTTGAAGGCAGGCAGAATACCATGGTGCGATGAGTGCAGGTGGAGATCATAGCGTTTGGGACGAAAAATATAAAATTTATTGACAATTTTTAACTTTTTAATTTTACAATTTGAATATGCGTCAGCATCTAAAAATTCTAGAAATTCTGAAAGACGTACGTACTTAGTCATTAACTGACTAATTTTTAAGTAATTAGTTAATAACCTGTTAAGTTTTGAGTAATCTTGAGAATAATTACCCTTCCTCTCACAGCTCATTTTCAACGAGACACTCCATTACTACTGCGCTCCTCTTCTACATGTATTTTTTGCTGTTGCTGTTGCTGCAACAACAATATTAAAGCTTGAAATAACTATTAGATACACAAAATCCTCTATTTTTTACCTGTCTACTTACTGCAAAATAAAAAGTTAGATACTCAAATACTTTCGAAGACTTAAACTTGTGTGAGTGTTGAACACATCAACAAGAAGGATAAACTTTTTGAAAGTGACAAATTTGTGGGTTTCGCAAACAGACCGGCATGCAATTTGCCATTTATGACAGGACACATTTCGGCGCACATACGCTAACCAAATGAATTGGCGCGCACACACTGCCATCGGCAGCTGCAGTGGCTTGAAAGTGGGGTTCATGTGAGCGTGGTTGTGGTGGATGAGCAAATTTGTCGAAAAAATCTCAATATCCGAGCCGGCAAGGGACGCAGTGCTGGCGGGTGCGAAACGAAAAGCTGTCAGCGTGATGAATTCGGGTACTCAGATACTATCGAAGGTGAGTGGCATGGATGTGCGCCCGAATGTATGCTGCTTTTAAGTAAAATTTGTGATGTCAAAGTGGCAAATGTCTGGAACTTTTTTTTAGGTAAAAAAAGAGAAAGTTACGTTTCTGCAGGCGGAAGGCGGAGTTCAGCTTGATCGCAGTAACACACACAGACACACACATACATGTGTATACGCATACCCACAAGTTGTAGATTGTGATTTTGTAGTTTTGAAGTATATTTATGGGCGCCGAACAGCAGCTCACTGCATATGAAGTTGATGTATGCAAATTGCGTACACCAACGCATACATTTCGCACTTATCCACACACACACACACGCGCGTGACACCATTATAAGCTCTTGGGTACACATGTGAAGATTATAGCCGCAATTTGTTTGCGTTTCTATTCTTTCGCATGGAAGCTGCTTTCACTTCATGTTTTCCTTTTGCATTATTTTTGTTTTGATTCGATGCATGACTATGCCTTAGTGCTCTTAGTGTGTTTGTGATCCCAACAGCCTCGCAGCTGACAATGACAAATCGAAAGGTATAAATCCTAACGGGTTCTGTGGAAGCTGCCGCAACTACTTTGCTATACTCTTTATCCATTTCGATTTTTATGTTATGTTTTTTTGTGTGTGTTTGTGTGTTGGTTTTTGCTGGAAATTTATTTGCTCTAGTCGGAACTATCACAGCGTTTGGAGGATTGCATTGGCAAAATATTTATGATTATACTTTGTTCGCAATATTTGCTAGCACACAGGTAAACCAAGTTGTTTTGCGCCACAAATAAATCAAACAAGAAAGCTCTCTGGCATTTCTTTACATTGGAATTTAGAAGAATCATATTTATTGCGAATACCGATGCGTGGCATGCGTTCGATATTTCTTCGGTTTTTTTTTTTTTTTGTTTTTGAGCTAGTGGAATACCGGTGGCTTCTAAATCGGTATTTTAAATTGATCCTGAGAGTAAATACGTAATATTGAAAATGGGCTCATAAAGCGCTAGGATGAGGCAAAAAGAAGTTAAGTTGAAGGCTTTTGAATGGCAATAGGTAGCAGCAAAGTGGTGTGATCACTCGGGTAGCGATAAAGGCTGCGTAAGACAACTTAACTTACTCCATGTTCATGCATTCGGTTTTTCAAAAATTTGGTTTGGTATATTTCTCTCTTGTTTTCCATGTACCGAATATAATGATATCTACGCTTTCCTTCCAGCTTATATGCTCATATATGTTATATTGAATATTCAGTAAATCCAGCAACTGAAACTTTTCAATAGCTTTCATACGTAAAGATCTTTTGTGAGATTCTATTCTGTGTAAAAAATATAAATAAAAAAATAAAGCTTTCGAGCTTTCACGCGAACAATGATCTGTTTTAGCTTTTCAAAAACTTTCAGACAAAAAATTGTTGTTGTCAAATTATTTTCATTGCTACGGTTTATTTTCTAACCCAGTAGAGCTTTTCAACAGCTTTCACATTTCAAAGTACTTTTGTTAGATTCTTTTCTTTGTTTAAGATAACATTTCCAACTAAATAAAATATTTGAAAAGATTTTCATATAATATTCCTAACTAAATAAAGCACTTTTCGAGATTTTAAACGACAAAGGTACTTTTGTAACGTTATTTACATTGCATCAAATATCATTTCTAAAGCTTTGAACGAGCTTTCACACACAATCCTTTGTTAGATTTCCTTTATTGTATGAAATATAATTTCAAGCTTAAAAAACTCACTAATTTTTATTCGAAAAACTTTTGCGCGACTATTCTTATTGTTTTTGTAAACTTTCTCATCAAATAAAGCTTTTTTCGTGCTTTAACATTTCAAATTATTTTAGTTTCTTAAATAATATTTAGTAACAAAGTAGAATATTTGACGTACTCACCTAAATTAACATAAATAATATCCTCTGGTGTAACACTAAAACGTGGCGGTGCATGTACGTCTAAATGGAACCATGTACCGTTCTTATGCTGCTTGGGATCACGATTTAAAAATACCACTTTACACTCATACCAGCCTTGATCCGACTCCTTGATGTTGGTCAAATTGAGTGAGGCCGAACCGAACGGTGAGTCCTGTGAGACGCGTGACACACGTCCCTTGTAGCCCTCTTCGATGTGCTCCGGATAGCTTTCATACCATATATATATGGGTAAATCGGAACCCTGCTGGCGGCAGCGTTTGATTTTTGATTTTTTTTTTTTTTTTTTTTTTTTGGTTTTGAGAATTTTGCATTACACAAAAATTAATATTTGTACGAAAAGTCCATTGAAGAAAAAGAAATGTGAAATAGTTTTCGTGAAATTAGTACGACTTGTAGTGTTTATGTGTGCATATACGAGTACATATAAGAAATGATAAAATAATGGTAATTGAAGTATGTCGATGTCAAACCATTACGAAACCAAAAGGTTTACATAAAATCAATGCTTACAAACAAAAGTAGATATTTATGTACATATGTTTCATTAGCTAAATAGTGAACTACAAGCGAGTTTGTTGCATGATACTGGCGCAAAGAGATAGTTCTTACTTAAGTGATGCCATATAAAAGTATTATAAGTATATATATATGAATATGTATATATGTAAATGCATTGCTACTAGTTTAGTGCGCATAACTAAGTCCATACATTCAAAAATATTTGAAAATGAAAGCATTCAACCACAACTCTGTTGCAAAAACTAACGCCAGTTAAAAAAATGTGGCAAAGTAATTTCTTGGCAATTATTTTCTGTACAAATAAGCACGCATGCAAACCACTTAAGTATTTATGTATTTAAGTAATACAAAAAAATGCGCTCAACAGCCACGCATAAGTGCACGCACAAGTGTTTTGTCACATTCCAATGCAACATTTGGTTTACCCAACACAAAAAAAAACAAAAAAAAAACACATTAAATTAAAAATTTTTGCTGCATTTTTAATTTGCTCTAGCAGTCGCATTCAATAAATAACAGTTATTTCGTGCAAGCGCAAGTTTATGCCGGTTTTTGTTGCCTACTTGGAGGCGCCAGAGCATGCAAATTATTAACCATGCACGAAATAATGCTGTATTCAATGTATTGCGTCAAAAATTATGATTCACCGCAAATTTTCTTTTTCTGAACGCTTTGCACGCACACACACATTTTTATATGACTTGACTGACTTGCGCACATAAAATTTAACATTAAAAATGCAATAATTGCATGAAAAGTAGCAATAAACTCGATTGAGTTCATGCGAAAATGCATCGGCATATAAACACATAAGTTATATGTTTTTTATGTATTTGTGTGCATGCGTTTAAATATGCACTAATATGTAGTATTTAAGTATGCAGAGCAATAGCACAACTGCACACACCACAACGGTCACACAATATTCTCTCAATACAAGAGTAAGTGCGTGTATGTGCTTATATATATGTATTTGGCATGGCTCATGGCCATTGTTCGCTCGTTTGCTTTTTCACGCACACTTTAACAAAAAATTAATAGTTTTTCTTCGCTTTTGTAGCTATCAAGGTGACCAACGTGTGGTCACACATATTGTTTATTAATTTAATTAAGTCATCAAAAAACCTCTAAGTTTTTTGTAATAAATCTCGACAACTTCTGCGTGTGTCAAATGGTCAAATACGAACTACAGTCACTTTAAAATGCAATATATGGTTTTGTTGAAATTTTACGAAACTTAATTTATCTGCCAGAAATTCTACAACTTTTGAAATAAATAAATAAAATTATTATAATATGAAAATAAATTTCGAAATAAAAATTATTATTTAATTAATTATCTAAAAAGAATCTTGTTCCATGCAGTACTACTGATATAAAAATTTTTCTTGCATAACCTTATCAGCGACGCCCTGGTGTAAGTCACCGTTCAACTTTAAAAACTATTAAAAATTTCTTAAGAGCTGCAAAATTCGAAATCTCTAAAATATTTACAAATCAAGTCTGAAACATGCATATCTTCCTTAACGGCTTTAAGTTGGCGGCTGTATGTGTGTTTGCTAGATTTGAATAGAGAAGACATGTACTTAAGATATCGTTAACGATCAGATCCATCCACTTCGTTCGTTTCAGAGCGCTAGACTACTTATTAAAAACACATTTTATCTTTTATTTGTTGAGTTAGAAATCGCATTTTAAGAGACAAATTCTTTGAAAACCAATTTGGTATAAAAAGTGAGTTTTTTTCCAACTACAGCGACGCTGATAATGCAGTTCAACGACAATTTTAAGTTGCTTTTCGTATTGCTTTAAATGTGTCGGTAAAACTTGATTTAGTTAGTTTTTTGCTCAACCATGGCAAATGTGGAGTCTATATCATCTAATATGTGGCAAGCAAACGTTTGCATTTAAGTTGCTACATGAAATCAACGAACCTAACTTTGAACCTAGAAACTAGAAAGGTTACTTAAAGCTCAAGTACTCTTTCGTCGAGCTTTTATTATTTGGAATATTGAGTAGCGAGTATGTTACCAAAGTCTATTGTCAAATTTTCTCAGGACTTAAATGCGATGAAATTTAATTAGTATACAATTTACGACGACGTCAAAACGATATTGAAAATTCAACCTTAAAATTTAAACAAAATTTTCTAAGAGCAAATGGAGTGGTCAAGTAATCAAATTTGTTATCTCACAAAAAAAGTTTATTATTAAAAATCTAAATTAATATTTTCATAAAATTTTCATACTACTTGTATATGCGGCTATACTGGCAACAGCTATGTGTATATGGTTGAAAGTTAAAGCTATTTTTTTAATAACTAAAATCGTTATGCTTGCTTCTATTCCATCCTATGCTTTTAAGCATTGTTTTTGCAGTATATTTCTAAGTTGAATTTAATTTGAAAATTACTTTTTTCCACACAACGACAGCTACTTAAGCGCTTTTATGCAATCCCATTAAAATTTTCGTTTAAGCTGCTACTTAAAACTTCGAGTTCTCTTGCTCGCACACCTCCACTTTGTTCAACGTCCACGCTGGCTGCTGGAAAGTGACGATTTTTTTTTTTTGCTCATTCTTGACATTTAATTTGTACATTAGCTTGACAGCAGTGACGGCCAAAGTTTGCCCTGATAAATGTGTCAGAAAGTAGCGAGACACATGCATACAGAGAAAAGGACCTGCAGCAAGCGCAAAGTAGAGTCAAAGTAACTACAGCATATTTTGCGTTTATTATGTTTTGTCTGTTTTATACTTTTACGTGTCATATGTGGCTAGCGGTAACTTTCTGCCAGATTAAAACTGATTGCATGCTGTGTGAATAATTTTGACAATCAACTTAAGTAAGCGAATGTGAGTTGGGACAATCGGCTGTTGGTTTGACAGTGCAGCAGTTTACTTTAGAATTGTGTGAGAGTCAAACACTCCAACGCTTCTTTGCTTAGAATTTAATTCTAACTTTGACGTAACTGTTATCAGTATTTCATATTTACTTTAAGCATGGCATTCGAGGCGGAAGTTAGTAATGTGGCTGTAGCAACCAGCGCTCATTGTCGCCGTAAAACGCTATAAATAACTACAAGGATAATTCCGCTTAAAACCTTTAATTTTGGTCAAATAATTGCGCTTACATTCGCCGACCAGCAACTGTGTCAATTGCATAGTGTGGCGCGCACGCCGCGGTGCACCATGTCGTATACGTGCTGTGTTTGGCTCGCTCTGACCGTTTATTGTTGTTCTGATCGCATAACTTTTGCTCGCCTACTTGCTCTCAAACACTGCTCGGTGTGCGGTCTGTGGTATTTTCGGCTTTTTATGCACTTACATTCGTAATTTTTTTTTTGTGCGTGTATGTGTGTGTTTGGGGTTGTGTGAAGTAGAGATAACATGTGTAAAATTTGCAAGCGGCATGATTATTATGGTTGCCATAGCTGCTATCCAAGCGATTACGATAATTTAAATAGTTTTTTGCGCTTTAAATGCGATTTTGCGGTTCGGGTATTTATACACGAGCAAAAGGGGTCGCTATTGTTATATGCTGGCAAGTAAGAAGAGCGGCAGAGTACAGGGAAAAGCATTACTTGCACAAGTTTTGGCTTGCGGCCAGCGCATATAAAGTATTATATTTGGTTTATGTGAGATTTTTGAAGATAAAGTAAGAAATTTCTGAGTAAAAGGTTTCTATATTAACCTTCAGGACACCGTTGAGTTGATTTCAGTGCTAAGTACTATTCACGAATCCCGATCTGACTTCAATAGCAATTTCGACGATCATTAACAATATTTTTTAAATATAATATCCATTTAAGTCAATGGTAAACCAAGAAGTTTTCCAGCCGTTTTTAAGTCGCTTTATGGTTATAGGTCGCTTTTTGGATTATCATTTGGTACAGAACAACAAGGCTCATATCACAGCGGAGAGAAGAAGAAGCTTCTGCTTAATTCCAAGTGGTAATTATGCATGTGTAAAATATCTATATTTCATTTCTCTGTAAAAAGCTTTCGCTTGCATCTAATTTTGTGTATGCGGTTCTCAGCGCATTATTTTGTATGCGGAACATTAATTTCGTATTTTTGGTTTTGCTAACTGGTGCCTAATCCACCATATTGCACCCAAATTCACAAATTTCAAACTGTAAATTCAATTTCATGTTTACACTTCTCAATGTGCTCAATTAGAACTCTGAATTAAATTTTTTTAAACCAATCATGCGAATTAACCCAGTTGAAATCTATCATAATTGGCATAATTTGGCGGGCTCATTGGATATTTACCCACCGCATTTTTGATTTAGCGTTTTAATTTTGTTTATTCTGTTGCCATGTGCTCGTTTTAATGCTACGCGTAGCGAACGTTTTTCCGCGGTAATGTGGTAATTTTTATATTAACGAAACATTGGCATTATATTGCTGCGGTTTTTTCGTATTATTTGCGTTTGATGGCAACGCAGTTTTTCAATAAATTGGTCAGCATGTGGCATTTGCTTTTAAGCACATTTAAGCCCTTTTTTATGTTATTTATTTATGTCTTTGCACAATTTATTGTAATTGCTTTGGCGAAAATTTATTGCCTCGCAGGATTAATCTTTTATTTATTTGTGATAAATATTTTATTATATTTCTGTTTTTTGGTAGTTTATTAAACGCATTAAGGGGTTTGGTATTGCTTTTTATGTGGTGATTGAATTTCAAAATCTAATTAACCTACAAATTTGAGCAAGTGATAAACTTTATGAGATGTGAATATAATTTTTGGGCGATTAATGCCTTAATGATTTATGAAATTTGCATAAAAATCGATTTGCTGTAGTTTGAGTACGACAGCTTTACTAATGTATCTTACTCAAAGACTAGTAGTACACAATTTGTAATTCTAGGATATTCTTTAAAGGCTTCCAAAATAATTGCTTCCAGATTGGATTATATTGTAATGACATGCCAAGATTCCAAGTGTTAATCGATTTTATCAAACGAATTTAATATTTTAAGTTTTAAATTAACTGTGCATCTAATGATATGAAAGCCTAAAAACCATTACGCAATCAAGACCGACTGATTTCTCTTCCCGAATAAATTTGAATATGCGCTTAGCGACCTTTGGCATTATCCATAGTTCTACAAATACGAGCTTCTAATATACACACAGCTTTTTCGAATAATGAGTACATATGTCTAGCACTAGTCTTTACAGCGTTGTTCGTTTTACAGCGATTTTGAGGTTATGTCTATATAGCAAATTTTTTTGTTTATTCTCAAATATTGTCAATGTATAGTTGATGTATATGCGTTGTGTTGAAAATTCAACACCTCAACTGCATCCTATAATAATTTACCCTTTAGATTCTTTAATTGTAATACAGTTCTTAATATTTTACCATATTTTTTGAAATGCAATTCTTGCATCTCTAGCACTCTTCAATTCTATAGATCTAAAATACAGCAACAACAACTTATATTAACATGCATGAAACCACACTATTAGCTAAGTAGAATACGTACAACTTTGAGGTAAGAGACATGCAACATGGAGCAATTAAAAAATAAATATGAAAAATAACAATAAATTCATGTGTGTAATATTTCGTTCGAGTATTGCACTCGAAATCGCATATTTTTATTATTTCTGTGCAATTAAGTTAATTGAAATTCGAACTTCGAGACTTCTACAGTTACTTGAATAGGTGAGTGAAGGAGACTTGACATTTGTTTGGTTCTAAGGTGAGCGAGTTTAAGGTGAGGTAGAAAGAAAAGTAAAAAGACAGTGAGTTGTGGACAGTGCATGGGAAGAGAACGGTGCGTTTTGCATATAACAGAATATATATTTGAAATGTTTTGAAGGGTTTTGAAATGAGAGCAGCAATGCGCACTTGTGGTTTTCGTGAGTATATAAATTTCTACCACACAAGTGCGCTTGGTATTGCTGAAAGCCTCTTTAAGCACAAAAACTGTTAAGTTACTTTGAAGCATAGCGGTGATGTATTTTGCAATTTAATTACTACTTTTCAATTCTATACTCGTGTGGTCAGAAAAAGTTGTAAGATGTTTTATGCTTATATTTCTTTTACTAATTGCTAGTGAATGGCATTGCAAACTTTGCTGACTACACACTTGCAACTAATACTTAGTGATATGCAATTGTAAGTAATTATTTTTTTATTTTTTGCAATTTTTCATTCGAAAAGCTAGTTGTTAGTTGCTGGAAAATTGGCAAATTTCTACATTTGCACGCAACTTGGTGAGCGTGTGCTATTTTTTCGTGTATGTGAAAGTTGCGCGCAGAAAAATCGAAAGCTAGAGGATGGTAGTAGGAATGGTAGAGCGGTGTTTTTGGTGAATTTTTTGTATGGCATGGTAGCTTTTGCAAATTGGTGGTGAACTGCTTGATGGATTGCTAGGTGAATTGCTAGTGAACTGTTGGCAATTGCAGTGACTTGGGCGCTTGGTTGAAGTGGTGCTGGATGCGGGGTGTTTTCTTCTCTCACTCTCTCTCTCTCTTATTTGAAATTTTTATAAGATTTTTTTTAGCGAATAAACGATTGCATTTTCAATTAAACATTTGGTTATCAAATACGAAAATATTTGTCTCCGACGATTTTGAATTTAAAAAAATCGTATTGAAATTTAAAAATTCAGTTTTTGATTCGTTCAATTTGTTTTGTTTTATAGTTTTAACGGTGTGGTTTAGCAGTATAAAGTTCAACGCAAATACAGTTACTTAATTAAAGCGCTTATTGTATTAAGTTTGTGTATTGTTTAGAGAATATATTCATATATATGTATGCAAGTTAGCTGTGTGTGCTAAAATGAGTTGAAGTTGAATGCGTTAAAATTTATTTAAGCGAAAATATTTTTTTTGAAATTTGTTGTTAGTATTTTTTTATTACGAGAAATGTATTTTATTAATTACTCTTCAATAGAAATTATTTCCGAAAAATATTTTTGAATAATTTTAATAAAAAATTTCAAATTTTTTTCATATTTTTTCTTGCTAAAAATCTTTTAATTTAACTATTTTCTTATAAAATAAAATATTTATAAGCGTGTTCAACTCATTTTACATAGCATATTTGTTTGTTTTGTATTCATTTGTTTATATAAGTTTGTACTATACGAGTATGTGTTGATAATTAGGAGAGCTAAAAGCATTTAAATGAAGCTTCTCAAATATGCTAATGCATATAATTTGCATTCTTGCCTGGGCCAGTATTGAAAAAACGCATTTATTTAAATTAAGGCTGTTAAAAGATGTATGTATGTATATATACATATGTATATATATATAAAAACAAAAGGGATTAAAAAGCGCATTATGGAAATAAATTTTGTTTTCACAGTTTTCAATATCAAATTAAGAAATAACGCACAATCACGAATTTTCCAAAGCATTTCGCTTTCAAATAAACAGCACTATTCAAAATAATTCCATTTAGTCATACAAATTTACACTTTAACTAAGGCAGCCAATAACTTCGTATGCAATGCAACATTTTAAAAAAAATTTTTTTATAAACTTTAAACACCGAATATATGAAAATGCAAATTCCAGCAAAACAAAAACACATTTAAACTAAAATAATTTAACGTGGCGAAATTTCAAATTCTTATGTACTTATGTTGAAATAATAGACAAAATCATTACTTTACAGTTGTTTATTTTATTCATATGCTATATGTTAAATGTTACTGTTGTTGTTGCACGCAATTGCAACGCTTACGTTCATGGCCAATACTAAATACTCACAGTTGAGAGAAGGTAATGAGCAAAATTAATTTATTTTTTGCCGTTTCTGTGTGTGTGTGTGAACGCAGCATTACAGTGCAGCGCGCTGTGCATATTTATGCACATAAATATATGCAAAGTTTCAGCAATGCATATATAGTAACACACAAGCATACCACATTCAAAAACACACACAGAAACACTTTTTGCTATTTTTTCTATTTTTTTTTTTTTGATTTTTGCTCAACACGCCCCTTTAGACTTTTCTCTTCACATCTTTTGTATGTAAATTGTTTGTACGTTCTTCTTTGTATTTGTTTTTGTTTATATTATATTTTTAAGTAGTTCTTTATGTCTTTTATACGCTGTGTCTGCTAGTTTATCGTTACTTGTATCTTGTTGGTATGAACGTGTGCTTGTTTGATTTTACTTATCGCTCAGTGTTTCGTTTTTTTTTTTTTATTTATAAAAATGTTATTTTTTTCATTCAAAAAATGTTTGTTAAACGTTGTTGTTTTGGTTTATATCGAAAAAAGTAAACAAACAAAACGTTTTGGACGCTTTAATAAAGAGAGTTTAGAGAAGAAATATTTTTTGTGATATCGTACCGTTTCGCTCACCTTCTTGTCCCACTGTAGGACATACGGCACCGGATGATCATTGGGAAATTCGACGTGACAGTTGAAGATGACACCTTCGCCGAGTATCGCTGTGATGTGTACTGCATCTTCTGTAATGGAAAGAGTACAATATATATATTGTATTAGAATTTTCTGTTTGGAAGTCGTTTGATTGCAATTAGATTGAAATTTCTTAGAGGTTAAAAAATAATCGATATCTTTTAGCTCTTTGTGAATTTAAGTATAAGAAATGTTTGTCTCATTGTGAGACCCACTAGCCAGTTTTTAGGAGTAAAGACAACTTGCTAAGCTCGAAGAAAATTTTTGGTCTATTTATAAAATTTATTTTCTTTCCAAAGAGAGATATATATCTGGCATCAAAATTAAACTTCAGGTGCTTTAAAAACCTCTCTCAATAAATAAAACTACAGCTTATAGCTCTCTTATTATGTGCGTTCTAAGATAAGTTTACTGTGAGGAGCTTCATAAGTCGCCAAGGTGATTATGATTTAAATGAAATGAACAACTGAACAATCTATAACGACTTCGACTTAGCTTAGCGAGCTTAGATTTAATATCAGCTCTCCGAGTACTAAAGTATTTATGTATAGTTTCTAGTGCTGAAACTATAGAAGAAGCAGTATGTTAAAAGACGAAGATGACAAGAACCAAATAGAAAGAGAGCAAGTAGATGCTTTACTTGGCGTCTCGAATTGGCGTCAACTAGCGAGCATCATCAAAAGGAGTATTTTTGCTTAAGCGAGTATACATATGTGAGCATTAGAAGAGTGAAAGATGTAGATGTGTTTCGAGCTCAAAAAGCTGTCATTTACATGCTGTAAGCATTTATTGAGTTTGTTGACCGCTTCCAAAATGTTATCACAAAGAATTTGAGGTTATTTGCAGACCTCAATCAATGTCTGCAATGCGTCAGTATTTGATTACACAAAAGCAAGCATTAGAAGCATTTTTTTGAAATATCATTCACACAAATTTTACTTTTCAGTTTCATACATACGCGTACACATATTTATGCATTTGCCAATCATTCAATCTTCGAACCACTCAAGCATTTTTTTCTCACAACTTATCACAAACATGCTGGCTAAGCTTTGTGGTCTGATAAAAATGAACTGTTAAATTCCAAAATACTACAATAAAATTGAACTGCACTGTGGAAAAGCTAACAGTTTCATAGAGCAGATTATTATTCATGAATTTTCCTAGGAAAATGCCAAAATCAGCATGATATTTGATTTTGCCGCAGGCCAAAAGAACACATACACACGCATAGAGAAGCGAGTCTTGTGAAAGTTTGTCTAACGCAGCTACATAAATTCGGTGGAGTGAAAGTGTTGGTGAAAATTTTGATTGAGCAACTGAATGCGAAACGAAAAGCCTCCGGACAAAAGCAAAGCACCCTTGCATCTAATAGAAACTATGGAAAGGGTGTGAAGCCAAGGCGTATCAGCGAGTATAACAAAAATATGGTCTAGAAAAAATGGGCTGACTGACAGACCAACAATAGCCATAAATGACAGCAAAATAGAATAATAAAATTTTTGTATAACAGAAGCGCAAGTTATTATTTGACTGCTGTTCTGGTGAAATGTGTGAAAGAAATAAGATAAAGTGAAATTATATCAGTAAAGTATATTGGGGCTGTCATTTACATATTATGTATATGTAAAATATTATATCTATGTATGAAGGAATTATATAGAAGGCATTGCTTTTCACTTCAAAACAGTAAGTAGGATTGCCAACCGCTTTGATGGTTTGGTGCTCGAAAAATGTTAATGGATATGCCGAACTGTGGGTACAAGTGAACCCTTTTTAGGAGTTCGCCATACTAAATCCCGAAGTCGTCAAAACCCTACGTCATATCTTGCTAGGTATTCATATTTTGCAAAGTTAATTCATCTTTGGGGACAAAAGCACTTTTATGGCACTGTTACATCTGCAGTGCAATATTTTTTTGCCGAGAAGAATTTTTAGAGCAACGGTACGAAGCAGCAACACAGCTTCTTCTCGAAAGTTCGACGGACCTTGTTGCTTCATGGAATAAATACAGTATAAGTAATATTCTGGCTGATATCTAAAAGAAAGAAAAATTGGGGTGAAAGATAAAAAGTTTTACTTTAAAACAGAACATATAATATATGATAGTGATATTGTACAGAATACATATATGTACATAGATCCATAAACCAGTTGAGAATTACAGCGAATGCTTAATCATTTAAGCATGAAAGCAAACATATGTTAACGAACCAAATTGTTGTTCCAGTGGACATCTAAAGCAGCCATTAACACCAAGTGAAAAGTCATTCCGGCATGGCAAGGAACGGAGAGCAAAGACAGGAGCTAAACAAGCTACGAATACCAAACAAATACTGAAAAGTGTGATGGGTAAAAATAAAAATATAAATCTACGTATAACTTCATACATGCATGAGTGGCATGAGTCGAATGTGTTGCAGGAGTCGTACGACTGTGCCATGGCATAGAAGGAATTAATAAACACAACAATCTAAGCACAAGAGGGAGAATTGAAATGAAGAACACAACTGCACACATAAGCACGAGAGCACGATGAAGACGGGCTGCACTTCCGTGCGGAAGTATCAAGTGTTCAACGATGACGCTGACGACGACAATGAACGACAACACCAACGACTTCAATATCGACATTCACGACGTCGTTGACAATGTCGACGATGGCGTTGATTGGATGGTGGCACTCCGCTGCTCACTCAAGTGCAGGTGGCATGACCGAAGTGCGCGCACAGAACGACAAGACACTTACATACACACACACACACATGCATGCGTGCTAGTGCTGTAGTTGGCCAGAGCAGCAACTGGAATTAAAGTATGCACTTCGCTGCTCGAATGTCAAACGTTCGGCGAAACGAGCTAAGACCCAGCCATTGTTATTACAATCCCACAACCAACACAAGTCGCATACTAAAATATGACATCCCAGCTCAGGGAAATGACGATTGACTTCCTCGTAAGCAATGTGTGTGTGTGTGTGTGGTATGACCGGTGGTGCTGTCAGTGCAGCCTTTGCCCGTTGTCATTGATGTTATGTCATTGTTGTTGTCATCGCTGACGTTGTCGCCGCCGATGCTTTGCGATTTGATGTCATTTCGATCCACTTCAATGCAATGCGATATTTTACATTGCTGCACATGCAAACACAAACGCTTGCCAGTGTGTGAGTGTGCGACTATTCTGTCGTCGGAAGCTAATGCAATGCGACATGCTATTGACACTTGTGCGGCTTTGCAGGTCGCAGGCACCAAGTGGCGCTTAGGTTGCATACATTTGGGGGAAAAGAGCAAAGAACACAGTTCGCTAGACTTCTGTGGCAGGCAAGGAAGTGGTGAGTGGTTTGGTCGACAAAAGCACATCTGTTTACTGCTATACAAGTATATAATATAGTAGTGTAAAAAAAATTTAGAGAACTTTCAAATATTTTAATGTTTTTTTTTTGGATTTGTGTTGTTTTTAAAATAAAATTGGCTCTTGTAATATCCATTTATATTTGAGATGAAAAAATGATTTCCGATATTTCGTATTTCAACTATATTTCAATATGTGTATAGCCTCTGCGGCTAGCCTCGAAAGCACAGTTATATTTTTTTTTAATTAAATACCTTTTTATTATTTAATAAACCGCTGTGTTGGAGACGTTGGTAAATTTCGCCAAGTGTCGCTAGAGTTGAGATCTTTATAAATATTCGCTTTTATATTCGTTAAAACCCAGATTTTCTAGTTCTTGCTCCGAACCCCAATTACTTTTCTTTTTACATTGTTCCGAACGGGATAAATTAAGTTCGCCACGTAGTTTGGAACTCTCAAAGGAAAACGTAAAAACCCTATATATATATATATATATACATATTATATATATATGTAAATGATCACCATGACGTGCTGGCTCGCGGACTACTATAGCATATACCAATTGAACGATCCAAATCATGTCCTTGTATGGAATACAATTTTTATTTTCTTCACAAAATTTTACATGGATTATTGACCAATCCTTGAAGAAATTGTTCCGATCAGACTATTATCGCATACATATAGCATACTGCATATAAACTGACTGATCCCAATCAAGTTCTTGTATGAAATCTTTAGTATTTGTAAAGGGTAAGTTAACGTTTTTTCTCGTTTAGGTATATATTTGGCTTCTTTTTTTTCTCGTGCAGAGGTTTCTCAAATCGAGCATTATAGTGATATTTTACTTTCTTTTATCTACTTTAGAATATGTTTCACAAAACTCTCTTGTTATTTTTTCGCTGCTTAACCTCAATTATTGTGTCTAGTGTAATACATAAGTGTGTCTACTAGTAGTTCTCACTGCCACTCATTAAAAATTGCAAGGATTCGTATTAAGAACACAACAACAACAAGCAGCCTCATATTTTAATACCAAACCGAGAATTATAAATTCTACTTTACACAACCATATTTCATATACTTTCTATCACATCCCTCCCTCCACCAATGCTATGGCATCCTACAAGGTTTCCAAAGCAATATCGATACATAATTGCATCTACATGCTTATAAGCCTGATCCAATGGCGCCCTACATACGTGCACACATAAACACTAACACATAGTCATTCGTTTTTATTGTACTCTCGTGTCACACACTCCTGCTCCGCACCGCATAGATATACGTTTGCTATTTCATTTCCTTGCAACGGGCTTTCGATTTGCAGTTTATTGCTCTTGAGTCTTACATGCACAGTTGTTGTGCCAGCATGTCAATGGCCATTGTTGGAGTTTGTTAAGTGTATTGGCACAATTTTCGCGCATCATGCAATACTCGTTGAATCGTTCATTTGTTAGTTCGCTCGATGGTTGGTCCATTCGTGCGCATTGACACTTTTATTTCATTAGTGTTTATCAGTCACTCCACAGGATAGCTACAGCAGCGAGTGGCCATTAGGAAAAGTGTAGCCACATTGCTTCAATTACGTGGAGTGCCGGCAAAGAGAATGCGTGATTCCACTACTATTTGCTCCAACATACTCGTCGTAGCTTGTCTCTGTTCATTTGCAGAATTTTTTATTATTTTTTTTTTT